CTCGCCAACTATAATAAATGAACTTTGTCCCCCAAAACACACGCTCAAATCCTAACCCCCTGTACCTATGAATGTGGCCTTATGTGGAAATAGGGGTCTTTGCAGATGTAAATAAGATGAGGTCACTAGGGCAGACCCTAATCCAATATGACCTATGACCCACGTCTTTGTAAGAAGAGAGGAGACACTGGGACAGACACAGAGGGAGACGGCCGTGTGACCACAGAGGCAGAGATCGAAGTTAAGCGGCCACAAGCTGAGGGCCGCCAAGGCTTGCCAGCCACCACCACGGCTAGGAAGAGGCAGCAAGGATCCTCCCTTAGAGCTGAACTTCAGATGGCGCGCGGTCCTGCTGACACCTTGATCTTGGACTTCTAGCCCCCAGAACTGTGAGACAATAACTTCTGCTGTTTTAAGCCACCCTGTTGGTGGCACTTCGTTAGGACGGTCCTAGGAAACTAATACACCACCTTGGAGCCTAGAGAGGATCTCAGTCCTCCTAGACACCTATCTAGACAGCATCTGGCTGGAGCACACGGAGCCGCTCCCCCGCAATCCTCTCGCTGCAGCCTATGAGCCCCGCACTTCCCCAGAGGGTTTCAGAGAGAGGCTCAGCCAGCAGAGAATGTTCTCCAGGGTGGGCTGGACTCCCAACTCGCCTTTGCCCAACAATGGCCTCCTTGAGCTCTGAGGCTTGGCTGACCCACAGGACAGGCTGACTAGGAGAGGTAGCTCCCCCGCTGTCTCCCAGCCTAATCCCCTCAGAAGTGTACCGTCACTCTCTGTACTGGATTGAATAATGTTCCCCCAAAACATGGAACCTGTGACTGTCACCTTATTTGGACATAGGGTCATTGCAGATGTAAGCTAGTTAAGATGAGGTCATACTGGATAGGGTGGGCTCTGAAGCCAGTGTGATTGGTGTCCTTATAAGAAGGAAATTGGGCACAGAGACACGGGGAAGATGGAGGCAGAGAGTGGAGTGGTGCTTCTCCAAGCCAAGAAATGCCAAGGATTGCTGGCAACTACCAGAAGCCAGGAAGAGGCAAGGAAGGATTATCTCCTAGAGCCTTGAGAGAGGGAATGGACCTGCTGACATTTGGTTCTGGCCTCCAGAACTATGAGAGAATACATTGTTTTAAGTCACCCAGTTTATGGTAATTTGTTATGGCAGCCCAGGAAACTGATACACCTCCCAGCAAAGAGAACTGAATGGAGTTCCTGTTCCACCTGCAATGGGCTATGGGACCTGGGGCAGGTCAACCTCGCCTCTGAGAACCTCAGTCTCTCCTTCTGCTGAGTGGGGACATGGAACTCCCAAGCCTGGACTTGAGGCATTACTGTTAAGGGGCCAGCGTGGGGCTCAGAACTCAAAAGCCTTACTGTATTATCATCGGAGGACTTGACAGTAACTGTTATTCGTTCACTCAGCCAGCGTTTGTTTGTCCCGTGTGCCAGGTGCAGCTCTAGGCTGAGATCCAGCAGGGGACAAGACGGACAGGACTTTGTCGTCATGGGGCTCACAGTCTAGGGGTGAGGAGGGAGCGACAACAAGGAAACTGCTTAAGACAAGGCACGGCCTGAAGGCCTGATGAAAGGGCAGCTCTCTGGGTCCTTCAGCCTCTTTGGTGGGCAGTTGTGAGCACCTGCTGTGTACATGGTCCTGGGAGGAAGCGGACACGCAAACAGGCATTGCCGTGGCATTTACCTGATAGGCTCACTCGGCATTGTGTTAGTTTGTGGTGGAGGGGAAAGGGTTGCATAACAAAGCACCACAAACCGAGTGGCTTCAACAGCAGAAATTTATCTCACAGCTCAGGAGGTGAGAAATCCAAGATGCAAGGTGTTAGCAGAGTTACTTCTTTCTGAGGGCCGTGAGGTGAGGAAGAATCTATTCCACGCCTCTTTCCTAACTTCGGGTGATTTGCTGGCAATCTTGGGCTTTCCTTGGCTGGTAGAAGCATCACCCTCATCTCCGTCTTTATCTTCACATGGAATTCTCCGTGAGCGTGTCTGTCTCCGAATTTCCCCTTTTTATAACAACATCCGTCATATTGGATTAGGGGCCCATCCACTCCAGTATGACCTCACCTTAACTAATTACATCTGTAGCACTCTTATTTCCAAATAAGGTCACCTCCGGAGGGACTGGGGCTTAGGACTTCCACATATGAATTTGAGGGGACACAGTTCAACGCATCACGACAGTTTTTTTGTGCCTCCCGGAAGGCAGGCAGCACTTGTCCCCCTGGGAGACACCAGGGCTGAGGTCAGGCTTGTGCTGGCCCGGTGGCCTCCCTCTTGGCGTCACCTCATTTTTAAAAAGTCTTATGAATGGGATGTTGAATAGCCAGCTATTTTCTTTCCAAACTAAGGACTTCTGGACAATGTCCAGGTCTGTTGGGCAGAAGTCAGACATGCCTCCTTCATGTCCCTGTCCCCACTGCCCAGGACACGCCTGGAACAGTGTAGATGCTTCATACAGGTTTGTGTAATTAATAAACCAGGAGTCCTGACTTCAGAGTTCACCAGGGCCTTGGTTTCTGCAAATTGGGGCTAAAAATGACATTGTCGAAACAGTTGTGAAAAGCGAATGGGCATAGCGCCTAGCCCATAGTGAGTGCTCTCTGCAGCATTAGCCAGGACCTGGAAGGCCATTATCACAAGGCTGCTGTGAAGTGGGAGGGAGGGCACAGCTGCCCGCCCCCACCCCCAACTCCATCCAAACCTTAAATTAAAGAGAGGCAGCTAACATTTTGTAAGGGCCTCCCGTGTACCGGGCACAACATCTGTCATTTATATCTGTGCCATCTTTCCACCTTCAACAACCCAGCTTTGTCATCCGCATTCCACAGATGACAGAATGGTAGCTTGGGGAGGTGACATTTCTTGCCATATCACCATCAAGTGCAAGAACTGGGATTCCGGCCACATCCTCCGACTCTCCAACCTCTGGCTGGATTCTTGTCACCTGAGCGTGGTGGGCACACTGAGGCCTGGCCTCCAGGGAGCTTCTCTGCTCCTGGAGACCAAAGGGGGGCAGTGTTGATGTGAAATGCTGATGCCTAGGCAGCATTGAGGCCTTCATCCTCTGTGTGTGAGTGTGTCCCTTTGCTGCAGGGACAAGGGTATCCAGGCCACATAGTTGCCCTGTTGATAGAAGGAAGTCTTCTCTCAGTGGCAGGCTGTCCCCCACCCGTGGCTCTCTGAACACCTGGGTTGGTGGCACTCTTGCCCATGCTTTCAAATGCCTCCCTTCCCATTTTGCTGGCCCCTCATGCCAACCCCTCCCCCCTGACTGTGGCCGATAGATCGATGACTGGCCAGGCGACAAGTACAGAGGACATTGATTGAGCAAGGTCTTCTGCATTTCAGACTGTCCAGCTACAAGCCTTCCTGGTCTGGGGGCCTGGGCCGTTTGCCTTTCAAAGGATGGGGAGGGGTACAGAGGCAGGGCTTGGGGTGTCTTTGCACCTGGCCCGCATGCCACCCCCACTCCCATCCCAAGCACCTCTCCCTTGGAAAGTTTGCAATGGGGTGTGGGCCAGGGCCTGGGAAAAGGGGAGGTTGGAGGAAGGAGGAACATTATCTGGGTCTGGGGTGGTAGAGGGTGGGACAAGGAGGGCGTCCTCAGTCCCAGGTCAGAGTTATGCACATGGGCAGGGCCCTGGGCAGGGTTGAGCAATAGGAGACATGAGGCAAAATGCTCCCCACCCAGAACCCCTAACCAGCCCCATGGGACACCCTCCTGCCCTGATCCAGCCCTTTTCTGGTCTGGAGATGGTACACACTGTACAGAGCTTGTACCCAGCGCCTCTGTGCATGGGCTCCTACTCCTGATGGACACCCCTCAGGACACATGTGGACCCCATATGCCCCCAACACTTGCACGCAGCAGGCCCCCTTACAAAGCATATACAGGAGCATGCACATGCGTGTGTGTGTGACACGCGTGAGGTGTCACATGGTAGATATTGCACAGGCAGCTTTCCTTACCTTCACTGGCAACTCTGTGCAATGCTGACCTAGCCCAGACACACTGGGCACACACACCTCACACTACACACACACACACACACACACACACACACACACACACGCGCGCGCTGGGACCCACATGTCATAGCACTCAGGGTCTCAGATGTTAAACTTTGGGCCTCATTGCAACAAATACCAATCAGCCTGTGCACAACCAGAAAACCCTGGGTCTGCCCAACCTGTGCTTAGGAGCACAGTGGGGTCAGATCCACCGTCTCTTACCGCAGCTCTGCTCACTAGCACTGCAATTCACATTTGTGAATTTCCATGTTCTACTTGTTGCCACACTTGTGATTTCCGTGTTCTAGTAGTCACATGAAAGAATATGAAGCCAAGCAGGTGAAATGAATTTTAACAATATATTTCATTTATCGCACTATAGCCAATATGTTACCATTTCAACCTGTCATCAATATAAAAAATTCTTATTGAGGTATTTGACATTCTTTGTTTGCACTACCTGGTGTGTAGCTCAGCCATGCAGTAGTCCATCTCAGTTCAGACAGACCTTGCCCCAGGGGCTCCAGAGACACAGGGGGCCAGTGGCCATCAAAATGGGCAGCATAGCTCTATAGAATCAGGTAGAAATTCAAATAATTTCCAGCTTAATAGAAAACAGCATGCTGCACTCCACCCTCTTCTCTCCTGTCCCCAGAGCACATGGGCCCAGTCTCCTTTTCTCTCTCGGGCCACTGGCTCCTCGGGTCTCACCTGTCCAGGTAAGGAGACCCGTGTGAGACCCTGCATGTACTGCACAGGCTCCTCAGCACAGCCCCCAGTTCCTGGCCCCCCACCTCATGCTCTAGAGGACCAGGGGCTGTAACCAGGCAGGAATGTCACCAGGCAACGGGCCTCGGGGGACAGCTCAGATCTCCTGCACCTGCCCGCCAGCCTCCAGGGTGCCCACGGGGCAGGGCGGGGCGGGCACTGCCTGTCTCTTGCCTCCGGACTGTTTACCTGAGCACAGTCACAGTGCTGTCCTGAACCCAGCAGTAGGCCCATGGAGCCTGGGGCCACAGGCCACAGAGGACAAGGGCCAGACACCCCGGCCATGGCTCTGGGCCATTGATCCAGCCCCAGCTGGCCGGGTGGAGGTGGGGAGACCTTGTCCTGGGCAAACAGAGGCTGTGAGGTCTGCGTGCAGGCCCGGCACCCACTTGCCACTCCCAAAGGTAAGTGGGGGCCTCCAGGACAGGGGACCAGGATCTATGAATGACCCGGTGACAGTGTCCACTCTGAGAGCTGGGCCTGGCTCCTTGGAACCTGAGCTATCTGCCTTGCTCTGAGGCCAGGTCTGCAGGGCCTCCTCGGCCAGAGAGCAACTGGGTGAGCAGAAGGCGAGGTGTCCACAGAGCTGGGGCTGGGGCAGGACAGGACGGAGTGAGGCCTGGTGTATGGACAGGCACAGGGACCGTGAAGGAACTGTGGGTTCTGGGTGCTGGGAGGCCTGGGCTTAAGTGGGGCTGGTGGACTCTGTGGCAGGGACAAGGCAGCAGAGAAGCCTGATTTGCTGGCTGAGCACCCCACCCTTACTCTTCAGGACTGGACATGCTGCCTCCTCCATACCCAGTACCCTACCCGGGCTGTACAGTGTGGGAGACCAGCCCAGAGCCCCACGCTGCACTAAACAGAAGACCTTTAGCTCCCAGGCTCAGAGTTGAAAGCAGCCGGCAATGTGTGTGTGTATGTGTGTGTGTGTGTGTGTGTGTGTGTGTACGTGCACAAGTGTTTATGAAGTGGGAGTGTTCATCTTTGAATCTGTGTCACGGATTGGTGTGTGTGGGCCTCTGTATGTTTCCATCTGTACACCTGTGTGTGAGTTCATGTTGTTCACCCACTCCCCCCACACCTGGGAACACAGTCCCAGTAGCTCATAGCAAGGATTTGCTCTAGGCCCGAATGGCCTCACTGGAAGGTCCTAGATCAGAATCCCAGCTCTGCCCTGCCCTGGCTGAGTGACCTTGAGTGAGTCATTTCATCTCTCTAGACCTCAGTTTCTCCAACCATGAGATAGATAGAGACAGCAAGGCAAACGCCCCAGGCTGCTGGAGGCTGAGATGGGATACAGTTTTCAGCACTGTCCAGCACAGGGCTAGCATGGAGGAGGAGGATAGCCTGCCCCAGTGAGCTCAGCCCCCAGTGGGCAGACCGAGAATACTCTGATGGTCAGAAGAGCAGAAGGGAGTGAGAAACAGGTGCCAGGGTGGGGTCTAAGCAATCAGATCAGGCCCCTGTGGCAATTGGGGTATACCCAGCCCCTGCTTGCAGGGACTCACTGTCATGGGGACAGAGAGAATGCCCCCAAGGTGAACTATGCATTAACGGGGGTGGCCCAGGAGACTTCGGGGGGCAGCCGCCCCTCCTGGGGCCCTCTGGGAGAGCTTTCAAGAGGAGATGAGAGCTGAGCTGAGGTGTGTAGGCCATCTAAGAGCTGGCCAGGCCAGGGGGTGGGCAGCCCAGGAGGAAAGAAGCGCGCGTGGGAAAGCTAAGCGTTAAGCAAGAACTTTCAAGAACCAATCCACGCGATGCTCTTCACCCAAGAGCTGGCTAAGAGCCCTTGATCCGTAACAGTTTTCTACCAGCTCCATTATTAGACTTGCTAACTGAGAAGTTCAGTGTCACTGGGGTACAACAGGAAGAAGAGGGCGTGGGGAGAGGGGAAGCAGGAGAAGCTGGTCCAGCCACACATGCGCACAGCGCCTTGGAGCTATGTGGGAAGAAGCTGGCATCTCAGCGTTCATTCATTCGACTGCAATGATGGCGCGCCACGTCTGCTCTTGGAGCAGGGCACACAGCGGTGAGCAGAATAAAGCTCCTGCTCCTGTGCAGCTTACAGCCAGGGAGGAGACAGACAAAGCACATAGAAGCATCTCATGCAATTTAGGTCTCAAGAGGTGCTGGGAGAAAAACGGAGCAGAGAACAGGAGTGGTCAGGGAAGGCCTCACCACAGAGGTGGCATTTGAGCAAAGACTGGAAGGCGCTCAAGGAGCCGGCCGCGAAGGAAAAACATTCGGGGGGCAGGGAACAGCAAATGCAAAGGCCATGATAATTGATATATTGATAGCCTGGGCAAGGAGCTGGGTGGGGCTACAGCAGAGGGAGGGAGAGGACAGAAAGATGCGAAAGGGCCAAATTACATAGGCTTTTGTGGGCTCTGATAAGGACTGTGGGCTCTGTTCTAGGTGGATGGGAGCCGTGTGAGGCTTGTGAGCAGGTCGCATGGTGAAAAGACCAGGAATTCGATACTGAAGATGGCTGGATGACTGGCTATTGCAGGGGTCAAGGTGACCAATGATGTTGACTTAGATGATGGTGGGAGCCATGGTAGTACCAAGAGAGTTGGGTTCTGGGGGCATTTGGAAGGTAGAGCCACAGACTTTTCTGATGGACTGGGCCCTTGAAACAATGGGGGTGCCACTGTATAATGGTAAAAGGCAGAGCAGTGAGGCCATCTTCACACCTGTCAATTGTCACAGTTGTTCATCTCCTACTGGGCTGTCAGCCCCAAGAGGATGGGAATGGGGTCTCTTATATTCACCAATGTGCCCCCTGGGCCCAGCGCAGAGCCTGGCATCAAGTAGGTGCTCAACAAAAATAAGGTGTCTGGGTAACTGAATCTAAGACTCCATGGCCAACATCCATGACCCAGCAACCACGCCTCGCAGTCCTGCTTCCCAGAGGCAGAAAGATGTAGGAGAGAGCACTGCATTGAGAGTCTGGAGGCCTGGGGCTCTATGCGTTCATTCCTTCATCAAGCATTCATTCGTGTGGCAGGCCCTGGGATAGATCCTACAGGGAACCAGGAGTGATAAAGACACAGGCCTAGTTCCTTGTGAGGGAGACAAACGAAGCCCAAACCAGGCATATTGCTGATCTGACCAAGGGCTGCCCAGGAGACGGGATGACTTACTCGGGACCCATCGCCAGGCAGGTGGCCTTGGAGCCGCCTTTAAGGCAGTTCTTCAGGCAGAGAGTGTGGCAGGGTGATATGCATGACGGAAGTTAGGGCTACAGAAGGGGTGGGCGGCAGCCAGCTCAGGGAGGGCCTTGGTGCCCTGGCGAGGGGTCAGAGGTGGCTGGGAGCCATTAGAGGATTCTGAGCGGTGAATGGGTGGAGGTGGGCAAGGGGAATGCCCTGGGGATAACGTGGAGGTTGTGCTGAAGCAGGAGATAGGAGCTCAGGTGAGAGGCTGCCTGCCCTAGAAGTCCAGGTGGGAGGCAATGGGGACCCCAGGTGAACAGCACCCCCCATTTGGGCTGTGTCTAATCTTGGGTTTTTACACAGTGGGTTTTCTGAAAATAGGCTCCTCTGTGATGCTCAAAGCCCTCACAGATGGATGTGGGAGGCATTTATGAGGGAGGCAAAATCCACGGGGTGCAGGCCTGGTCAGGGGGAGGGGGAGAGGAAGGGAGAGGCCTACTGAGTGCCCTGCCCTGGGCTGCTCTACTCGATGCCTCCTCCAATAGACCTCATGACCGTGGTTTCCACCTCAGTACCCTGATGATGGGTACTAGAGCACAGGAGTCGGGCATTACTCTGAAGGCAAACCGCTTGGGTTTGCAGCCTGGGTCTGCTGCTAATCAACTGTGTGATCTTGGCCGAGCCGCTCAACCTCTCTACGCCTCAACGTTCTCATCTGTAAAACAGGGATAATAAATAAGAGAGCTTACCTCCACAGGGTCTGTATAAAGCTTACATGAGACAAGACACACAAAACACTGGAAATAGTTGAAATAAATGTCAACTATCGTCACTTCCAGTGCCCTTGAGTCCCCATGTCTCTATGAGTCATCTCAAAATAGGTCTTTGGTGAGCCGGATTCAAGCATAAAACAGGGGTGTGGCCACCCCTGGAGGAGGGAGAAGACCTGGGGCTGAGAGAGGGTGAGGAGCTGGGCCATCACTGGGCTTTCCCCAATCTAGCCACCCTGCCCAGCTCTCAGAGGACAGCCCGTTTCTCACCAAGGGTGCTGTGGACACTTTGCCCCACCCCTTGTGGTGTATTTACCAGACGCCTGGTCCCACACGTCTGGATGTCCTCTGCGTAGGGGCGGAGGGGAGTTCCATGCCCAGCCAAAAATCACCAGCAGTTCCTCCTTTCCTTGCATCCGGTGGGGGCCGCTCAAGATGGTTACCATGGCTGGCTGCCAGAGACCCTTGCCTGGGAACAATGCCAAGAGGAATGGCAGGAAGTGAGGGAGCAGGCGGAAGGCAGGGAGCCCCTTGTAGCCAGCTGAGATGATTTTGAACATCATTGAGGGGCCCCATTTTGGGAAAACCCACTCTGTGAAAACCCAAGACACAGCCCAAAGGAACCCCCCCACCCCCACACATCTGGGGATGCATTTCAAAGCCACGGTGGCATTTATGCACTTGGTAAGAGGAGACTACCTTCTCAGTGTTCTGGGATGCTTGCTCTGCTGCTGGGTAGATGGATGGAGGGCCTTCTCTGCACTGTGGGAAAACCTGCCTGAGAAGCCAGACAATATTCAGAAGTTGGTTTGGAGGGGTCTGGTGATAGAGCTGCAGACCTGGGCACTGAGAGACAGGACAATCAGTTATTACGAAATCATGATTTGTTCATTAACAGCTCATTTACAGGAAGCAGCCTGGAGGAGTGGAAGGCGCAGGGAGTCAGACATCTGAACAAAACCCCCATGTATCTGCTGTGTGACCTTGAGTGAGTGGCTTAGCCTCTCAGGGCTTTAGTTTTTTCATCTGTAACATGGGGCTGGTAGTGAGTGCCAGATATTCAAATCACTCTGGGAAAATAAAGCTAGGAAAACCGTGGACTGAGTTGTTGCTAAAACACTCTGGGCCTCAGTTTCCTCATCTGTCTAATGGGTACAGAACCTTGAAATCTGGTTGGAGATTTAAGCAGATAATACATGTAAAGTGTCCACACAGAGTGGGCCTGAGAAAGAATAATGCACAGGGACGATGGTTCCCACATCCCTGGGTGACCAGAGGATTAAATGGATGAGGTGGTTATACCTGTGAAATAGCTTATGTAGACACTAAATGAATATCAGTTTTTGCCTCCTTCCTCTGCCCCTAAGAGATTTTTGGGCAGATGGGGAGAAAGAGGGACAGCACCCCTTGAAGGACAGGCCGTGGCCCAGCACAGTTTTGGCTCTGGGGCTTCTAGGGGAAGGTTAAGCGAGTTGATTGCATCCGTATTTCAGGAAGCTCTGCTATTGGGAACCAGGAGGAAGAGAGAGCATCTCTCGAATGACGGGAAGCCGAAAGCAAGAGGAACTAGTTTACAGAGGTTGACACCCCATGTTTTTGAGTTCCATCTGTGGGTACAGTTTCTAGGGGTGGGGTTCCGGCACTGAAACTTCCATTTATCCTCTGACCACAGACAGGCTGGGTGCAAAGTTAAGGGTTCCAGAGCCACGCCAGTCCAGGTCTGCCGCTCACCTCCGTGAGCTGGCTCAGGGGCCACTTTCAATCACTGTTTATATACTAGCTGGTGTTATGATCCTCTTACTCCAAAAAGCAGGCTGTCTTACTTCTGTGTACCGTTGGCACTCAGCAAAGGCTCCCTTGCAAATGCCAGGCTGTTTCTAACCCCGGTCTGTTTCCCTGCCAGGATGCCCATGGCCAAGGCCCCCCAGGAGGCTGGCGGGCCGGGTGACGGAGGTGATGGTGAGGAGGCAGAGCCGGAGGGGATGTTCAAGACCCCTAAGGACCCCAAGAGAAAAGTCCGGGACTACCTTCGCCTGGCGCCCCTGTGGCTGGCCCTGGTCGTGCTGGCTTCAGGGGGGTTCCTGCTCTGGTATTTCCTAGGTAAACACGTGGGCCTGCCCGGGAGAGGCACCTAGGAAAAACTTGGGGTAGTTGTGGGGGGCCACAGCAGGACAGACCAGGATTCCAGGTTCAGCAATGCCTAGCAACTCACTGTGTGACCTTGGGCGAGCACTTCCTTTCTCTGCGTCTCCCTTCCTGTCCTATGAGATGGGGGTGCTGCTGCACCCATAGGAACCAACAAGCCAAAGGAGTGTTAACACAGCTTCCCCTTGCCTGCAGCCCTCCAGGGTTGCCCCTGGGGATTGGAGCCAGCTGCCTCTGCAGGGGAAGGCCCAATAATACTGGTGATTCCTGGCATCAGTTAGTGCCTCTGCTCACTTGAGCCCCATCTGGGAGCTCTTCTAGGATGGAGACCACAGCTCTATCACCTCTGGGTCTTGAGGGCCCAGCATGAATGGGAATGAAGGGGAGGCGGACATAGGACTCAGGCGTCCAGGGGTAACCATGCACACAGAGGGCTTTCATACGCCAGCTCGGGCACACATGGAATTCAACACACAGTGAAAGGGAGGCCTGTAGTCTCCAGAGCGGGTAGCTCAGGGCTTCTCCGTCTGGTATCACAGCCCTTGATCAGTCCCCTGGAGCCCCAGAAGCAACTGACCTATGTTCTGGGTCCATTTGTCCATCTTTCTGGACATTCATTCATTCATTCATTCATTCAATAAACATTCTTGAGCATCTACTATGTCTTTCTCTAAAGTGATGGAGACTGTACCTCACTCCTTCAGCTCCTGATTATGGGAAGTAATGGGTAAACCAAGTTAGATGGTACCTGTGAAAAAACTCCAAGTATGTTGTAGAAGACTCATTCACTCATTCATTACCGAGCACCTCCTTTACGCCAGCTCTGTGTCAGGCTCTAAAGATGGTCCTGCCTCACCATAAAGCATGGCTTGCGCCAAGACAGAGAAAGCTGAGGGGCTGGGGTGCCATGACAGGGGCACGTAATCAGAAACTTCCCATGAAACCCTCTGCAAAAGTTAGATATTGATAGTATCCTCACCGGCTAAGTCTCACGGTGGAATTTCAGGCCCATGGAAAGGAACAGAAACCTGCTTTGGAGTGGTCATGGGGAGACCAGCCTAGGCTCAGCTCCACAGGGGGCCGAGGTCGTCTGGAGCTGGCCTACGGCAGATGCTGTTAGGAAGCCCATGTGTGACGCGGATCCACCCGCCACGGCTCAGAGTGGGTAATGATTCTGCTCAGAGCCGAGCAGCACGGTGGATACTGGAAGCTGTGTGTATGTCACCACCAGCAGGAAGCTGCTGCCCCAAATAGCCCGGGGTTGTTGAGCCCTCCTTGGTTGCGGGGTAATTAGTCTTCAGGGTAAACCACAGAGCAGTCAGGCTGAACAGCCAGGAACTCACCTGCCAATTGTCTTTCTTTGCAGATGAGTCTAATTTCTCTTGGTTACACTCCAGGAATAAATCACCCCCAGGGTGTGCGGGCTCCATGGGGCTGAGGACCCAGAGGGTGAGTGCCCCCAAGCCTCAGCTGGGGGAAGCCAATCCCCGCCCCACACAGGGATTAGGATAGAGGAGGCACTTCATGTGCTTGAATCACTCCTCCCGCCCTGGCCGTGCTGTGCTCTAGGTACTAGGCACCGGGGGGAGGGGACGAATCAGAGATGTGCCCTGCCCGGTCGGTCGGGAAGGGGAGATGGACAAGGCACCTGTGATGCTGGAGCAGGGTAAGCGCAGAGTGAGTGGAAGCCTGATCCCGGAAGCGGCCCTAGAGAGGAGAGGGCGGTGACTGGCTTCCCAAGGCAACCGGGCCCTGGGCACAGGGGTCCTGATGCTGCCCAACTGTATGTCCCTGGTCCTTTCCCTCTCCTGCTTTCCTGGGTGACACTGTTATGCTTTCTCCTCGAGCCTACTGCACCCCCACCCATGTTGCCACCTGTTTCAATGAGAAAATGGTACTACTCAGAAGAGACGCCCCCTAGATGCTGGCACCACACCCTCCCAGCTGCTCCCACGGGCTCTGCCCTCCCACCCTCCCCAAGGTGAACCATCGCTGCGTCCTGTAAAGCCAGCTCTCCTGGGTCTCACGTGGTGGCTGGGCTCCAGCAATGCTCCCTCTCTCTTCCAGCACCATTTTCTGTCAGGCGTGTTCTCATTGCTCCTGCACCCAGTCCCTCTGGTGTCCCCCATTTCTCTGCTCCCCTTGGCAGCAACCTCCTTGAAAGAGCTGTCTCGACGTGCTGCCGCCTCCACTTGTGTACCCCTTGTCTCTCTGGTACCCTTTTCAATCTGGGTCCCCGCCGCTCCCCCGGCTCCAAGAGCGCTTGTCGAAGTCACCAATCCTCACATTGTTAAATCCAGCGGCTGGTCCTCGTCCTCATTGCGTTTGACTCATGGGCAGCACTTGACCAGGTGCTGCACCCTCTCTTCCTTGAAACCTTTTCCTCGCTTGGCTCCCAGGCACCCACACTTTCTTTCCCCCCTGGTCATGGTGGCTTCTCCTCTGTGTCCTTTGCTGGTGGAGGGCCTCTCCTCCTCTCTCCCTCCGCCCACTTCTTTCAGGGTCTCAGCTGGTACCCTTGGCTTTAAGCGCCCTTTATACCCCCAATGACTCCCACTTTTGTATTTCTAACCTTGAGCTCGACTTGGTCACAAAGTCTGCCCCCACCCCCCCGGGATGTTGAAGGGCCACCTCAGATCCCCCCTGGCTCAACAAGCAGCGCTCCGTCATTCCCTCCAAACCTGAGCCCCCACAGCCCAGTGGGGCCATTTCATGCTTTCAGTGGCTCCCCCACTTCCTCCTCTCTTTCTTTTATCCAGGCCTCAATTTGCCAGCATACCTGGTCATCTCTAACTCCAAAATACAGCCTGACTTCAACCTCTTCTCATCCTCCCCATCGCACAGCCTTGTCCAGGCTCCCGCGCCTCTCACCTGGACCACCGCAGGGCCTCCTGCAGGTTTCCCTGCTTCTGCCCTTGCCTCCTTAGACCTGTTTTCAATGCAACAGCACATGAAATTGTTTAAGTTCTCTGCTTAAAACCCCCCACCGCTCCCATCTCACTCAAGAGAAACTGAAGTCCTCCCAGGGCTTATGAGGCCCTCCAGGACCTTATCCCCCCATCTCATCTCCTGCTTTCCCCTCACTCACTCTTTGCTGTTCCTCAAACACACCAGACAAGCTCCTGCCTCAGGGCCTTTGCACCGGCCAGTCCCGCTGCCTGGAGGGCCCTTTCTACAGATTCACGTCCACATGGCTCAGGCCATCAACTTCTCTGGCCTCCATGTTGCAGCCCACCCCCAGCCCTGATTTCCACAACACTTACACCTCTGACTTCTTGTACAGAATGTTTGTTATTTATTGTCCGTCTTCCTTGCTAGACTACAAGCACTGAAGGGCAGGGTTTGGTTTTTTTTTTTTCATTGTTTTTATTCTTTATTGTTCATTGTTCTACTGGTATATTTCCAAGTGCTCTAGGTCAGTCCCTACCCATGGTAGGTGTTCAATCAATATTTTTTGAATGAATGAATAAAAGAATAAATAAGGGTATAAACACAGGGCTATGAATCTATTCTCTTCACATCAACCAAAACAGTCTTTGCAAAACGGAAATCTGATGACATCATCCTTGATTTTAAACCTTTCGTGGTTTCCCTTGTTCATTGGGTTAAGACCAAAATCCTGCCCTGCTGATGTCCCAGCCTCTCGGTGCCCCACTTCCTATCTGATGGCTCCCGCCAAGCAGACTTTCAGCCCTCACCACAATCTCTCTGCCTCGGGGCCTTGTACAGGCGATTCCTTCTGCCCTTAGGGTATTTTCCTCCCTCCCCTCTTCCCAAGGTATTCTCCAGTTCTCTTATCTCAGCTGGAGGGTCACCCTAGCCCAGGCCCAGTCTCTTTGCTGTGTCTCCCCAATAGCACCTGGTGCCTACCCATGAAGGCCCGCCTCATCGTTGGGCCCTACCTTTTTTATGGTTTCTGGAATGATATCTATCTTCCCCACCACTGTCATCTTTTCATGGGGAGGCACATCTCTCTTGGTTTACTAGTATACCCTACAGAGTAGGTGCAACCTGGACAGCCAGGTGAGTAGAAGGATGCCTACAGGTGTTCACCCATGAACTTGACCTTCTGGGCCATGTGGGTTTCCTGGCCTTCACGTCATCTGTGTCCTGGACTGATTACTGTGTCCGCTTCTGGGGCACCATCCATCTGTGGGGTTCTTTCCTCCCTGGCACCTTGGGGCCAGTTTATCACTAAAAACTTTGGATGATGATGATGAATGATGATAATGACAAAGATGAGGATGATGATGGTGCCTTGGAGGCCCACGATGCCGGAAGCTGAGCTGAGGGTGTGGGCGGAGGAGAAGGCGTGAGGAAGACAGGAGCCTTCCCCACCGGCTCCCTCGTTTAACCTGCTGGTTTCTTCCTGGCCAGGGTACAAGGCAGAGGCGACGGTCAGCCAGGTGTACTCAGGAAGCCTCCGTGTGCTCAATCGCCACTTCTCCCAGGACCTTGCCCACCGGGAGTCCAGTGCCTTCCGCAGTGAAACTGCCAAAGCCCAGAAGATGGTAGGGAAGGACTGCAGGGATGTGGGGGAAGGAATGTGGGATGAGAAGGGGAAGGGAGGGGCCTGATAACGTCAAGCCTGTTGATCAGTCCATCTGGAGGACAAGCTGGGAGCAGAGGCCTGCTCTAGACACAATTGAAGGGGACGTGGTATAGGGCGGTGGGAATGTTAGTGGACTCTGGCATTCAATGCACTTGGGTTAAATCCCGATGGTGCCACTTCCTAGGAGCTTGACTTGGGAAAGTTAGGGCAGTGCAAGGATGCTGTCAGGGCCCACCCACATCCCATTTCCTCCAGGGCAATGGCTCAGGACACTAGAATGCTCTCCCACCGCCAGCACCTCCACTCTCAGGCCACAGGACTGCACCATGGCCAGCAGGGCCGGCTGGAAGCGCTGCGGAGTTAGTCCCAGGAGCAATGCTCAGCCACGAGAAACAGAGCGGGTGGATAAACACCCGCCGGCGCTTGGTGGCGGGCAGTCCTGAGGATGTCCCCACCGTCTCCCAGAGCGCCCTGCTGGACTGCGCCTCAGCGGCCCACAGCTCCACCCGGCTCCTTCACAGCCGTGTTGGCTGTCCTCCTCCAGTCTGTCTTTCCCACCCCCGCACTGGTGTTCCCCGGAATCACTTCCACACAAACCACTTGCTTCCCATCCTTGACTCAGGACCTGCTTCTGGGGGACCCACCCGAGGCTCTCCTTCCTCCTCTGTAAAGTGGGGTGATGATAACAGTGCCTGTCTGGAGGGTTGTCGTGGGGTTGGAATGAGAGAAGGTGGACATGATCGCTATGCTGTTCCAAGTGCTTTACGAACATACAGCCCCGGCGTCCCATCCTGCCATCAGCACTATAGTTGACCATGTGCAACAGCCAACCAGCTGAGCCCCCCTGGCTGGTGGCTAGGGGTGAGAAGGGGACTCGGGAGCCGAGCGGGGCTTCTCAGAGTTGAGGAGTGACTTTTGATGAGGGGGACAGAGCTGGTGGGTGGGGTGGGGTTGGGGGTCAGTGCCTGAGTGTAGGGGGAGGAGAGAAAGCAGAGCGGGTGTGAGGCTTGTTTCCTGGTGAGGCCACTACCCGCAACGTGACCTCGGGCAAGACTCTACCCCACGGGCTCCTCTGCCTGGAGGGACAAAGGGCCTCTCAAGGAGGGGCTTGTGCAGAGGGTCACGGGGGCTATTGTTTCCCCTCTTTTAGCTCAGGGCACTCATCGCCAGCACCAGCCTGGGCACTTACTACAACTCCAGCTCCGTCTACTCCTTTGGGTGAGTCGCCTGGCCCCCCAACCCACCCCGGCTAGAACCTCAGACTCAGGGAAGGGGACAGGACACGGTCAGCTTCTGACGCCATGCCCGCGTTTCTTTTTTTCAACGAGGAAACTGAGGCATGGAGAGGCAACTTGGCTTCCTGCTCATGACCTCCCTTCACTGCACCTTGTTTGCTCATCTGTAGAGTGGGCACAGACATATGGTAGGGATTACCTAGGCAATGGCTGTGATGTGCTTAGCAAGGGCCCGGCAGAGGTTAGGTGAAGCCACAGTGGGGTGTGGGTGGAGGGGGGCCTAGCTGCCCCACTCCGGTCTGGCTCTGCCACTTTTGACATGGCCTGTGGCATACAACTTAACCTCTTGTGCCTCAATTTCCTCACCTGTAAAATGGGGATGAGGGGAGCACCTGTCTCAGAGGTAGCTAGGAGGCTTCCTCGTGAAGGTGGAGAGCAGTACCTGGGAGGTAGTAAGCACTCAATATGCATGAGCCGCAGTTGGTGTCCTCCCCACAGGAGCAAGGGGCTGGGTAGGGGAGGCTGCAGGCCCCGCCCCCAACCCCTCTCACTTCTGCCTGCCTCAGGGAGGGACCTCTCACCTGCTTCTTCTGGTTCATCCTCCAAATCCCCGAGCACCGCCAGCCAATGCTGAGCCCCGAGGTGGTACGGGCACTGCTGGTGGAGGAGCTGCTGTCCACAGCCAACAGCTCGGCCCCTGCTCCCTATAAGGCCGAGTATTCGCTGGACCCTGAGGGCCTGGTGATCCTGGGTCAGTACTGGGGAGGGGCAATGTGGGACGGTCTGGTGGGGCCTGGGAAGGCTGCCCACCAGGGCTGGGATGCTCTCAGGGTGGGCCCCCGGGGACTCAGGATCCAGAGCTGAGGGGTGGGGACGGTGGCGGGGTCAGCATTCAGGGTAAATATCAGACAGGCTGGCTCTGATGGTCTCTTCTATTTTTATTTTCATTTCATTTTATTTATTTATTGTTTGTCTTTATTTGTTTGTTCATTTCCTTTTAACAGAAGCCAGCGTGAAAGACATAGTTGCACTGAATTCCACGCTGGGTACGCTACTTTTTTTTCCTCTCTGCTTTTGAGTTGGTGTTTTTCTTGGCTTGGTCAAGTGTCAGGGGACCACATGGCTTCTATGGTGGGTGCAGGGAGCACTTGCCTGGAGTCACCCAGGGGATGCAAAGCCTTGCTTTGGACCTGTGGGGGAGGGGAGGAGGTGTTGTACATCTGTGAACCCATGTATGTGTGTCTTGTACATGAGTGTGTATGTGTTGCCTGTATGGGGTATGAGAGTGTAACTCTAGTTTTCTATCATTGGATTCAATTTGCCTACAAGCCACTGTTTGCACTGACGGAGGAAAATAATCTTGCCAATTTGAGGTGTATCAGTTACTTTGGGTTTAAAACTTGGTCTTTTGGAGACATTTCTGTCACATTCAAGGATACCTTGTCCACCTTTTCCTTCCCTTTCTCAGCCAGCCAGGCTAACCTGCCCTCTGTCTCCCACCCCACCCCTGTGCCATGTTGCTAGAGTCACCTCGATTTTTTCCAAGAGGCTCCACAGTCTTCCTGCTGATCCCTGGGAAGCAAAGCACCATCAGGGACACCATGCTGCACAATGCCGGGGTGATCTACACAGTCTATGGGGCTGGCAACTCAGAGTTGTGCAGTGCACCACTTGTGCTACTGTACCCTGTGGTCCTGGACACAAGCCCCAAATTCTCAGATTCTTCCTATGCTACCTAAACTTCCTACCCATTGCTGAGGCTGGGCTGAGGACCTCAGCTCCCTCTGAGTGTGGGAGGCATTTTATTATTTTTTTTTTATTTTTTATTTTTCTTTTTAAGTTGCAGAAAAGGACATTTTAGTAGAAGACAAACTACATTTCAAAGAAGCAGAAGCGGGCCCGAGCAGTAGAGATAATGGCTCAAGGGCCATTATTAGAAGAGAAAGTACACTCCAAAGGGTGTGGAGCGGGCGGAGCAAAATAAGCTCAAAAAGGCGAAAGGGAGCAAGGCTAAAGGCCAGGGCCAGGGAGTCATTATCAGGAGAAAAAGTACACTCCAAAGGGTGTGGAGCGGGCCGAGCAAAGGCTGGAAGGCAGTTTAAATGCTGGTTATATCTTTGCTGACCTTCCTCTCCCCCCATCTGGCTGGTCAGTGTTTACTTCCTTGGTGGATGGAGATAATGGGGTCAAAGTACAATTTTCAAAGAGTTAAAAGCACGATTCTCATACACAGATACAGTGAGCAGATGTCTGAGATTTATTTAACTCTAATGTGGGAACCAATAAGATAGTAAAACCGGTCCAAAGAAGAACACAAGATACTGATTTATCTGTCAGCTATCATATCTATCTATCATCTATCTATCTATCTTTCTATCTATCTATTTATCTATCACCTATTATCTATACCTATCCATCATATCTATCATCTATCTATCTATCTATCTATCTATCTATCTATCATCTATCTATCTATCTATCTATCATCTATCTATCTACCTATCCATCCATCCATCTCACACTGCATTGGTACACGAGTTGCCCTGCCCCTTGGTCTGGGATAAGCCTTTCTGTTGCCCTTGCCTGTGCCAGATGTCCACTTGTCCCCAAGTTTCTGGCAGTTGCTTTGTAATTACCCTTATTTGGTTCCATGAATGTCTGAAACCCCTGGCCTCTAGGAGCACTAACAGGGCAGGGATGACAACTCAAATCTTTTAAATAGGCCTTTTGAGCACTTCCTCCATGCCAGGCCCCACCCTGGCGCTGGGAACACCAGGTGACCATGTCCTCACCCCTGCCCTCAGAGGAGCTCCGCGTCCCGTGAGGGAGACAGGCTCATAAACAGAATCTCATAACACCCAGTGCCAATGCGAGAACAGAGGTCCTGGAGGCTGTGGAGAGAGAGGATGGTTCTGCCCTGGGGACTGGGGCCTCAATCCAAAGCAGAGGAAGGAACATACCTTTAGAAGGAGGAAGGAGGTGCTCCTGACTGGGAGTCCTGAAGGCCTTCATGGAGGAGGGGAAGCAGACTCAGGGATGGGGGACTGGTAGGAATCTGTCCGGCTGAGAAAGGGAAAAGGCATACTGGGCAGAGAGGACGTCATGAGCAAGGCCAGGTGAGGAGAGCGAAGGCAGATTCATTTACTTTCTCCCTGAGACCAGAGGTACCAGGCTCCCCGAAGGTGTTTCTGATGACCAACAGACACCAGCACATACCTATCCATTTAATTCTGTCCCCCCTCCCCCGCCAAAAATAATTATTAAAATGGCAAAAGCAAAGCAAAGCATCAGCTTGGAGTGAGATTTTAAAAATACAAACACCTAGAAACAGCCAGGCACCTTCCCCCAGCTGCTGGCCAAGGCAGATATCATAGGCCCTGTCCCTTCCCCTTGCAGATGTCAGAGGTCTCTCCCTGGGGGAGGTCAACTCCCCACTGGAGTCAGGATGGCCAGGGGTCAGGAGGAGGGAGCTGAGCAACAGGCAGCTGTTCACCGCCATTCCCTTCTGGGTCCACAGACCCAGCCAGAGGAGGAGGTGGGACAGGGGTTATTGTGACCATTAGCAGAGCTCAGAGCAGTTAAGCCACTGGTCCAGAATCACCCAGCTGCTGAGAGGTGGTGCTTGGGGCTATAAGGCAGAGTGTGGGCTCCCTGCACACAAGGCTGCCTCCCACATCTGGGCCTCACTCTCACATCCCTTCTGCTTCCTGGCAGAAAACCCTCCTCCCTGCTTCATTGTTTTATGGTGAGGCTTCTATGAGATATTTATGCTCCATGGGAGAGATTTGTTTGTTTACTGCTGGTCCTTGGTTTTTAAATCAAACACGTAGTAGGAGCCCAATACCTATGTTGAATGAGTGAATGAATGAATGAATGAATGAATGGTGTAGGTAGCCCTGCTGTGTAGGGTCTAGCCCTGCCTACAAAGCTCATGGATTGAATCTAAGAAAGGAGGCCAAGCCTCTGTGGTGTGGTTGCGGGTGGATATGTTTGTGTGATGGAGGTGTGAAGTAAGGGCAGCCAATAAGATTGGTACATCTGAGCCTCAAGTGGGGCCAGCTGAAGGGTGACAAGTCACAGGACTTTCACTCCAGCTTCACGTTCTCCCTCTCTCCCACACCCACCTAAAGAAAATCCGCCATTACATATATTGAGCACCTACTGCGTGCAATGCAATATTGAGCACCTACTGCGTGCAATGCACTATGCTGAGCACTCAGACATGCACCATCCCTAAGCTTTGTGACAACCCTGCAAGGGTGGCGTCATTGTCCCCATTCTACAGAGGAGAAAACCAAGGCCCAGAAAACCAAGACGTGGGTGTACCCACGTCTGTCTGCCCCGGGTCTGTAAAACGGGGACAATAATAGAAACTGTTATATGGAAGCATTACATGAGATGGTGGGTGTACAGCCTTTGGCTCAGTTGCAGCGTGTCTCAAACACTTGCTAAGTGCAAATGGTTTCATTCTCCTGGCTTTATTATTAGCTGGAGCTCACTTTTTCTACTTAGAGCTGGCCCCCGAGTCCCGCTGGAACACTTTCCCTTCTCTCCATCTGAAATGAACCCTTCACCTTGCTCCCGGATTGGCACAGCTGTCTCACGGGTCTCCAGCCTCCTCAGGGTTGCTCCCAGCAGCCAGAGGGATGTGATCCAAGCCTGCCCCTGCCCCTGCCCCAGCCCTGCCTAACCTCCCATGGTTCCATGGTTCCCATGGCCCCAGAAGGCAGCTCCGCTCCTGGGTGTGATCTCGGCCCTGCCGCCCTTCTCCAGATTGCACTCCTGCCTCAATGTCCCCTGCTCACCTGGACCTCCAGTGCTTTGCTTACACTGTGACCCCCTCAACCCCGATACTTCTCTGCCCCACAGACCAGGCCTCAGCCCTCACCTCCTGAGCTATTATTGCGGGGCTTTGTATCTATCTGTCCATGCTGTTCTCAGCGCTCCCAGGCAGTGGCTGGACTTTTCTCTGGTACTGGTCTGGCATGGAAAACTCAGTGAGTGCTAAGTGAACGAATGAATGAACCAATGAGTGAGTGCATGCATGAGGAGACGAGATGGAAAGCACGAGAAAACAGAAAGATGGGACAGAGCACATCTGGGCTCCCCCATCCAGCTGCTCGCCCCACCCCGCCCCTGCCTGGGTGAGGACCTGATGGGTCTGGCTCCCTCCGGTCTACCCTCCCAGCTAATAGAGGTCAGGGGGCCTGTCCCCCTCTTCCCTCCAGGCTGCTACCGCTATAGCTACGTGGGCCAGGGCCAGGTCCTCCAGCTGAAGGGGCCCGACTACCTGGCCTCCAGCTGCCTGTGGCACCTGCAGGGCCCAAAGGATCTCATGCTCAAACTCCGGCTCGAGTGGATGCTGGCCGACTGCCGGGACCGGCTGGCCGTGTATGATGTGGGCGGGCCCCTGGAGAGAAGGCTCATCACCTCGTGAGTCCCGGGGAGAGCTGGGAGTGGAGGTGGGGGGTTGGGGAAAGGTCACACCCAGCATTCTGAGACCAGTGGCTGTGTGAGGGGCCTAATATTGGGGAGACCGTGAGATTAGCCCAGAGGGAGAGTGGGAGGGAAAGCTGGAAATGGCTGTGGACCACGGGCAGTCCCGTCTCTTCCCCGAGCCTCAGTTTCCCCATTTGTAACAAAACAGTTGTATTAGATGGCCCCTAAGGTCAGCTCCGGGAGGTACATGGCTTGTTAGAAGAATGCTCAGAGTCGGGCAACTCCCACTTCCAACCCTCACTCTTGCTTTCCAGCTGTGTGCCCTAAGGCAAGTTGCTTTGCCTCTCCCAGCCTCAGTTTCCTCAACTATAAAATGGGTACACAGTCGTGCTTGGAGGGTTATTGTGAGGATTTAAATCAGCCCATCTGTGGTAAGACCCTCACGCACAGCAATGCTATTCAGTTGAGGCCAGGTCACAAAGGGCACTGAGTTCCAGGAGCAATGTGAACTTTAGTACTTGGGAAGTGGGGACCTAACTGAAAGTTTTTGATCAGAGGAACAGGGCTTTAGGACCAGGGATATGATGTGGAGTGCGAAGTGACCAAGTCAGAGGGCAGGTAGTAGGGGATGGGGAGACCATACAGGGGCTAGAAATGGCCTTGGTCTCCAGGTCCTCAGGGTGGGGAGTAGGTGTCGGGCCTACGAGGCTCTGTGGGGGGTGGGGGGAGACACGGGGATACTAGCCTGCTGCCTTCTCTGCTGTGCTTGGGCTGGGCCAGCTTCCAGGCAGGGGTGGGGGTGGGGCCTTCACATTCAGATCAAGAGCAGACCTTGAGAGCAAGCTGGGGGAAGCTTCTCCCCAGTCCCCTCCTCCAGGGCCTCTCTGAACCTCCAGGCTCTGAGGCTGCACACCCATTTGCATGCACCCCTGCTGCCCTGTCATGTGGTGACCTCAATCTGGGGGTGTGTGGGCGGGGTTCTTGGAGGGCTCTGGGAAGCTCAGAGAAGCCAGACATTATCTGATTACCAGGCCTGGGGAGGGCGGAGACACTTACAGGCTTCCCCTGGGGCTTCTCTGTGTGCCCTCCCACTACCCCTGCCTGGGGCCTGGCTGTTGGGTCCCTATCACTGTGGCACCTGGGCAGGCAACTCACTCCACCTTGGACCCAAGGAGAAGGTCTCAAATGACAGACAAATTGCACCCCAGAGCGTGAGAGGGAGCTTTAGTGGTGATGGGAAGACAGAGCAGACCCTTGTCCATCTCTGACCTCCTGGGCAGGATCTGGGCCCTCTGATTTGTTTCCATGTGTTCCCTACCCTGGGAGACTGGAGGCATTTTAGTTACAACAAGGCTCTGCTGCTAAATAAATAAAAGCAAAGCAACTCCCAACATTAAAAACCGAAGACCCCCATTGAAGGGGACCTCCAGGTCCCTCTTAACCCTACTATCTTATCTCCCACCTGAGCAGGTGAGGCTGAGGAGGGCGTGGTGTGGAGGGGTGCATTAAAAGCAGAAGGGACGAGGCCAGGGGCCAAGGGGAACACCCCTTTCCAGGACACTTCAGCCCCAGGACCCTCCTAGGGAACTGCCTTGGGATTACTCACTCCACTTTGGTTTTTAAGGCTGTGTTTGGATCTCATGCTGCACTTGCCGGGATGCCTGCAGTGCCCCCATCAGTGCCCACTCTCTCTGGTCAAGTCCATGGCTGACACATCGTAGGCAGGCAGTACCTCGATGCTGGACGGTGGCATGCCCACTCTGGGAGGCAGCTTCCTGGGAATTGGTATACTCATTAGTGAGGGGTCAGGATTCTGTCAGAGACAAGGGGTTGTTTGATGGTTGGTGACAGGTGAGGGGAAGCCAGGAGCACCCCTACCTAAGATGGCAGATCAGGGGCACCTACTGGGAGGGGCACCAGGCGCTGTCACAGGCATTGCCCATGTACTTCTATCTTTGCTGTGAGCCTGTATTGGGGACTTGGCATGGTTCTGACCCTCAGTTTCCCCACTTAGAAACCAAGCAGTTGACTTTGACAATCTCTTAAGAGCCTTTGCAAGGCTGACATTCCAGACCTGTAAGCGTCGAGAATTCTACGATGCCGTTATTTATTCTGTGCATCCCAGGCGCCAAGCTCTGGGACGAATCCTGGGTGCCATCCCACACTCCTGCTGACTGCCTGTCTCAACCCAGAACAAGAGCAGGAGCCAGCAGGTGCCCAGTCAGAGGGTATCGTTCCCACAGGTGCCAGTCAGGTCTCCCTGTGGGCACAGGCTGGGCACTCAGAGGTCACGGAGATTCTGAGGGAGTAGAGGGGCTTCTGTGGGACTGGAGTTAGCTGGCGCAGTCGAATTGTAAGCTTTAGAAGTCTGGGCAACCTCCTGGCGTCTCTCATCTGAGATGCTGGTTTGACCCTTATAAAGTCTCCAGGCAGTCCCCTGGGCCAGAGAGGGTCAGAAATTTGTCTGTGAACACACAGCAGGCTGGCTGCACACCTGGATGTACAGATTCCCAGTCCACCCTCCTCTGCTCCTCCCAGATGCCCTTCCTGGGCCCCGGCCCACCTTTGCCGCCTTTCTCTGTCCCCCCAGGGTCTATGGCTGCAGCCGCCAGGAGCCCGTGGTGGAGGTCCTGGCATCAGGCGCCGTCATGGCGGTGGTCTGGAGGAAGGGCCTGTACAGCTACTATGACCCCTTCGTGCTCTCCGTGCAGCCTGTGGCTTTACAGGGTGAGGGGGTCGGGGGTCCCTGGGGAGGGGAAGAGCACGGTGGCAGAAACTGAGGGTGCTCCCCTGGGCATGCCCTTCACCTTCTTGGCTGCAGTTATCGTGGGATGGGGGAGAGGAAGGTTCTAGAAGCGCCTCTACACTCCACCCCCACCCCACCCCATCCCACCCCCACACACAGTCTTTTTCCTTCCTTTATTCTCAGTGCATTTCCCCATCTTCTCCTTCACTCTCCTATACGCCCCATCGCTTCTCTCCCTCACTTGTCTCACCCTCAATTCTCAGTCCTCTTTCTCCCTCATTCTCTCTCCTGCCTTCTCTGCTTTTCTCTCCTGAGTTTCTCGTCTGTCCTCCCTCCTCTCTCATTCCCTCCCCGTCCCAGCTCTGTGTCTCCTCTCTTAGCCTCTCCCCACCCCTTTTCCTTCTGCACCACCCATGGCTGAGCCTAGAGGGTGGGGTCTGTGGTCAGCAGGCCTGAGGACCTGAGATTCACCTCCAGACAATCATCTCAAACCGAAGGTGAACCCACAGATCTCCGAGGAGATGGGTAGGGCGCTGAGGTGGGTGGGGGTGGGGGGGAGCCAATTACACAGCATTTCACGGGAAAGGCTCTCCCCAGGGTGCCCACTGACCCTTCCCCGGCCACCACTCTCCTGCCCTGGAACTCCCTCCATCACCTCCTCTCTCAGGAAGAGCACACACATGCTTCCCACCCACTGGGTGTCCTTGGGCTTGCAACAGCTGTGCCTCTGGGCAGGCAAAGCAAACCTGGCAGTTCCCAGAGCTCCGGGTAGGAGGTTTGCAGACGGGCTGCTGTACCCCACTCTGTTTCTTCCCACTCAGCCTCCTCTCCCTCTCCTGGTGTCAACCCCCAAGGGCTCCTGGCAGTGGCCCAGGTCCACAGTGAACCTGCTGGGGTGCTGGCTGCCCTCCCGTGGTCCCTGGGGCTAAGGAGGTGACTGAACTGGCTCAGTTCACATGGGATTCTCTGGCACAGCTCTAGGGGGATCGGAACAAGAGGTTTTAGGGACCTTTCCTCTAAGAAGAGGTGGCAGGGCAGTTGGAGGCACTCCAGCACCAGATCACTTGCCCTCTCACTGTGTGATTTTAGCCAAGTCACTCCGCTTCTCTGAACCTCATCTTTGAAAAGGGGACCAATTCTCCCTCTCCCAACCCCCATAACTGAGGCTCTCACAGTAGTGAAAACACCCAGTAAACGGTCCAGTGCTGCATAGCAAATGTTAATAGTGAACATTTATTGAGCACTTACTACATGTCAGGCTGTTTGAGTTGAAGCTGCTGTTTAATCTGCTCAACTACCCTACAAGGTATGTACTATTATTGTCCCCGTTTTACAGATGAAGTAACTGAGGCCCAAGGTCACACAGTCACACTCAGCCACTAGACTTTACTGTTTTGTGGAAGCAGGGGTGATGGGGTTACAGCTGCTCCCCAGCTGCTGAGAGATGCAGTGGGGTAGGGATGAGGGACCCTGTGTAACGGCTGTTCTCTGGGCCCAGCCTGCGAGGTGAACCTGACCCTGGAGAGCCAGCTGGAACCACAGGGCGTCCTTAGCACACCGTACTTCCCCAGCTACTACTCACCCAGCACCCACTGCTCCTGGCACTTCACGGTGAGCCCCGCACCCTGCCTGCCTACCTGCTCTCACCCCAGAGCACCCTGTGGACCTTCAGGGACCCCGGCTGGGAGGGGTGCCGTGTCCTGTCTCTGCTGAAGCACCCACAGGTTGAGCCTGGGCCCAGATCCCTCCGGGAC